CATTGTCAATTATCTCATTAGGATCTTATGTACTATTACAGTTTATTCATACCACAGAAACTATTCAGTATTTACACATGTGTGACTTATTTATTTCACTTAGGAGTATATCCTCAATATGTATCCATTTTCTTACGAATGAATCTAATTTCTCATTCTTTATGGCTGAGTAATATTCCATTTGACCCAGCCATCCCTCTGCTGGGTATCTTTCCAAAAGAATTAAAAGAATCATATAACAGTGACATATGCACACCCATGTTTATAGCAGCACAGTTTGTAATAGCTAAAGCTTGGAAATAGCCCATTTGCCCATCAGTTGGAAACTGGATAAGGAAGATGTGGTTTTTTTCTTAAACATTTTAATTTAGTTCTCTACGTTGAGGCAACCACAAAAGGACACTGGAGGACGGTACCCAGATACTTCAGGAAGTGGTAATTGATGGGCTAGATGTGCTCCAAGCTCTTGGAAGCACTGGGAGCAGGAGGAATAGCAATGTGTCTTTTTCATTAAAGACAAACTGTGTTTTGTGACCATACTGTGTATTTCTCTCTCCATGTGGTTTATTGTTTCTCTAAGCACACTGGCTGTTACACTAACCCTGGCTTTTCCTGCCCCTCTGTGCTGTCTCTGGCTTCCATGACAGGTTCTGGGGCCCCCTTCTGCCCCAGTTTCTCTCTGAGCCCAGGAAGCACCTTTTCCCTCCCAGCTTGAAGTTTCAAACAATGTTCAGCTTCCCTGTTGAGGAACCAGCTTCTCTTTGAAGCTCCATCCTGTGCCCCTCTCCTTCGTCACCTGGAATCCATCCTCTTTAGACCCAACTCCATGACTTTTTATGGCAAGGGCAGTCCAACTGGTTTCCTGCATCTCATCTGCTTACTCCAGCTGGCTTTAAGACATCCAGGGTTGCATTTTACGTGCATCGTCTGTAGATGTTCACATCCTTGCCTGGCTTGCAGCCAGTGCACTGCCTTCTTCCTCCCAGGAGGCTGGCAGGGTCCCAGTGATACTGTGCCTTACATGCACTACATCCAGGCATTTTACCCTCTTTCTAGCTTGTCCCTAACCAAGCAGGGTCACAGCTATAACACACCCCGTATCTACCTGGAAACCCCATGGAAAGTTACTGGCTTGTGCCCCTTTGCCTATTTTACAGACAGCCTGGCCCCCAACCCTATTGCGATCCAGGAGTTAACCCTTCTCCTCTGGGCTAAGTGATTTCCACAGTTGACTTCTGCACTGAGACCGGGGATTTGAGGCCAAGAAATTAAATCAGCAGTACCATGTTTGGGTCCCTAATTATCTCAGGAACTTCAAGCTTAATATGGATTTCTTTGCAGGTGCAACACACATTTCAGTTATCTTGTTCCTGAGAATAAGATTTACAGTAATTAGGTTCTCAGGGATCAATTAATCACACAGGAAATCTGGCCTTCCTCCCCTGCACACAGATTTGGAAGCTGCCTCCACTGCTTGCTCCTCTGCCCTTGTCTACTCGGGAAAAGATTTCTGCATCACCTCTCCGCTGTCCTGTGGCCTCCAGGACCTGGTGCCTGTCACAAAGGATGGATCTGCTGTCCCCCGAGGAGGCCCTGCTCACCAGCCCACGTCCTCCGCTCTCATCTTCACCGCTCCCATTAGCACCATGATCCCTGGCACCGAAGCAGGGAATGGGATTGTCTCTGAGTGCACCCAAACCTCACACATCCTCGCCGTCCCCACCGTGGCAACACTGTGATCCTCCGTACCATCCTCGGCCGCCAGGCAGATGGGAAGAATGCCAAGAGAAGGAAGAGATGGCAGCCGGTGACCACTGCAGAGGGTGCCGAAGAGAAGGAGCCCGGAGGTGCTGGAGACGAAGGCCTTGTTTGTCTGTTTGAGAGGTGCTAGTTCTGGGGCAGTGATGGGCCAGGGCTGTCCAGCGCCAGCCCTGCAAACTTACTGGTAACATTGCAGAATTTCTCAATCCAGTTGTTAAGCAAACAGCACCTTGAATTCACCCCAGAAAGTGACAGAGCAGCAAAACTGTCTGCTCCTGTCGTGTTCTGCAGAACAAGTTTGCTAGCACACCACTGGTTGCTAATACTTTCCACAAAGGCCATAGCTTTATTTTACGTTCTTCAGGGGAGACAGAGACAAAATACAAGGGAGAAGAGGAAAGACAGCCAGTCTCTAGGATTCACATCACCCTCCTCTACCTCCCTGGCCAGAGAGGTGCCCCCTGCTGGGCGCCTTTTTCCTTCTCCCAGACAACCATTTCCCCCAGAAGTTATAGATCCCAAGGCCTTTCAAGCCTAGCCTCAGACGGGCTCACCTTCCAGTTACAGAGTAGACTCTGCCAGCGTCTCTCATCATTTGGTCCCCATGGTAGAAAATCTGATCCGTCTGCCTGCTTTCCTAGTCTGTGGCCACCTTAACTCAGTTTCCTCCACCCTTGAGTATGCGCAGCCTCACTCTGTATCTAAATATCATGTAGACCATCATTAAATCTGCCCTTATAAGAAGAGTAAGAGAGAAAAGAACCAAACCCTGAGGACCTTCCAGAGCAACGAGAACCCCAACTACTTCATTAAGAAAGGGAAGAGTGGATTCACAGGAAATGTATGTGTACGTTTCTGACGTAAAGTGAAAATGATTCTAAAGAGATTTATGGGGAAAATTGTTTAAAAACCAGCTGTGGCAGAGTTTGTTTCCCAGTTTAGAGAAGGTTTGCACTGTAGCTCCTCAGGGGGTCCTGGCCAACCAGAACACAAACTGGCCACGCTTCAAAGTCAGTTGGTAGAACTAAATTACTACTGAAGAATTCACAGGGCCAATCGGGATTTTAAGTGATTGCACTTGAGCCAAAATCGGTTTCTAAATGAATGGCATTCAACCAAGGGCCGGCCTGAGATGCCCCAGAAATTGAGCCCCATTCGCTTCTATGAAATGGCATGTTTTCTGCAAAAATAAATGAATCTAAAAGTATAGCTCAGAGTAAAAGATTAGATGAATGTATAGACTTAACATTGAAAATTCTGTTGTCTAAATAAACAGTGCACACACAGGACTACACATTCTCATGAATACAGTTCCGTGCACCTCTCTCTCCCCAGTGTCCTCTCCCTTCCTCTCCTCTCCTCTCCTCCCTTTCCTCCCCACCCCATGTCTCTCTGCCTCTCACTGTCTCTGTCCCTCCCTCCTTCTCTCTCTCTCTCTCTCTCTCTCGTTTCTTGGTCCCTCTTTCTCTTTCTCACACACATAGAGAATTGGTGCTCAGTAAGAACACACACAGATACCAGGTCTTACTTTGTGAAAGAATATGAAATGGAATGCATCGTGGGAAACTAAGAGGGTATCAACAACAAAATGCCAAACAGAACAGTAACAATCACACAGTTTAACATTCAGTCCTGTGCAATATATGTGCTCTGATTTAAAACTGCTGGAACCAGACACAGCGCAGACCTGTTTGCTCAAGTGTGCCCAGGTGCTGCTATATCTCAACCCTCCTGAGGACCAATCAGAGTATTTTCTTTCCATTCTTTCCCTTTGTATCTGAATTCTACATTTCGCATTACAGAAGAATCCAACCTAATGGCTGCTCATGGGAAATAGCTCTTGATTTATGCATTTGCTGATAGAATAGGTCAAATGAAAACTTAGTCTAATATACACTTAAGTGGAAAGCATAAAATCAGACACTTTCATTATTTCCATACATCTCCAAGCCAGACAAGCTGATGTTATTTTGGGATCTTGGCAACTGAATTTTTTTTTTTTTTCAAATGAGCATTAAGGAAAATGGAACTTGCGTCATACTTAATGCTTCTGCTAATGTGATTCTTGATTCTAATCTGCAATAAATTCATTGCAATTATGTGGTAGAAGTATTTAATGTGATTTTGCCTGTCAGAATCTATTATCATTTGTTCACAAGAAGCTGTCTGGCAAAACCAAGAATGTGTGTCACCAACAGGCAAATAGATTTCCTTTCTCAGCACAGTAAAATATGTAATTTAAATCCATTTTCCTGGTCAGGAACAGCTGAATTTCTAGTAACAAAATATATTAGCTCTCGCCCATATTAACAATTTTATTACTTTTTTAAAACAGAAGAAAAAGTGCTGATTTAGTCTATTTGACCACTTGTGTTTGTTTGTTCGTTTATTCGTTTTTGCATTACCAGGGATCAAACTGAAGGCCTTGTGCTTGTGAGGCAGGTGCAGTGCCACTGAGCTAAATCCCTGGCCCCACTTGTATTTGTTTTGATTCTTGTGAGTGTCCTGTTCTCCACAACTGCTTAGTATTTATCCAGTAGAGCTGATCGTATGGTGCTAACATTTTTTGTCGTTGTGAACTTTGACACTTATTTGGAGTGGGGATCAGCATTGGGGATTAAACCGGGGCCTGGTACAAACTGGACAATTGCTCTACCACTGAGCTACTCTCATAGCCCTTCAGTCCTTTGAAAATTGCCAAGACAGTGGTCTGAATGTTGATGTCCCCTTAAAGCCCATGGAACTTAATGCACATTGATCCTACGTTAAGTGGGTGGACTGTGGGAAGTCGCTGAGTCTTGTGGGCACCACCTTTAGGCATTGAACTCTGATTGCATTTCCTGTGATTCTAGAGTGTTCAAAAGGAGAACTACAAAACCTGTTCACTTCCCCACTTACTAAATTAGAACACTAAGGCTCAGAGTTAGTAAGTGACATGTAGAAACACAATAATTCAAATATTTTGTAAGCTCTCCTTCCCCAAGTCCCCCTCTAATATATTTTTTATCTAAATTGCCCCTCAGAAGGTTCAAATGCTCACAGTTTGTACTTTGAGGAAAGTGATTGTATTAGGATGGCACTAATATATCAACTGGCTAATTGGTGAGCTTGTGGCTGAATGGGCTGAAGGAAGTAGGTCCCTGGTGGGCGGGGAGGTGCATGCTTTTGAAGGGTATATCTCATCACAAGCCACTTCCTCTCTTTCTCTCTGATTCTTCCTTGCTGTCTTTCCTTCCTAGGACAGGAAGAGAGTTTCCTCCCACCATGATATTTCTGCTCTAGAGCCAGCCAACCACAGGCTGTGCCTTCTGAAACCATGACCCAGAGATCCAAAGTAAGTCTTTTCTCCTTGGCTGTTACTGCCTGCGAAAGGTTTACACCGATGGTCCCCTGAGGGCTGCTCACCTGGGGTTGACCTGTAGACTTCAGAGGGCTTTGACCAGCATACACGTGTGACCCTCAGCAGCATCTGGGCTTAGAGATGACCTTCTCAGGATGCCCCCGTCTTGGCTCCCTCCACATCCCCCCAGGTTGGACGGCTTCTGTGCCTCACCTGTTGGCTACTCACCCCCTTCCCAGGGGTACTACCAAAGAGGCTCACAGGAGAGTCTTGCTGAGTCTTCCCTTGACCACTGCTGAGCCACACTTAGCTCCTAATGACCAGGCCTCCTGAAAGGAGCTCAGCCAGAGCTCTGCCCAAAGCACGCCTGGTACCTAGGAACAGGAAAGCCTGAGCGCCCCAAGTGGTGGAGCAGTGATGAAGAACACCAGATGTAGCTCTGCAAAACCTCAATGTTCGTACAGCGGGGCCCTGGCCACTAGTGTGCAAGAGGGTAAAGAAGCCTGTGACCCATCTGGTTTGCCACCAGGCAGACAACGCCTGAGCCTGGTACCTCTGCACAAGGCCTGTGCAAATGCCCAAAATGCCCCCAGGGCAGCAAAGGAAAATGAGCTAGGAAAGACTCTCAATTGGTAAAACAGAAAAATAAATAGTGCTCTTTATTTCTTTATGTATGAAATTCTGTAGAGGAGTGATGATCACTACCCCTGCAAACATGACTAATACGGACTGAATAAAGAAACTCCCAGAAAAAGGTATGTAAATTTCAAAAGCAACGCTTCAGCACATTTTGTGGAGCTGTGTAAACCTACATAGATACGTACGTTACACAACTGCTGTGTATTGACAAGAAAATGACACGGGAGGTATAAAATCCCAATGCTGGCTCCCTCTTGGGACACGAATGGAGTAAGATACGGAAAGAGCACAGGAAGGGTCGGAGGTGCTGGGGCGTTTATATAGGTTAAACTGAGTGTGTGGTAAGTCAGAAGGACGTGTTATATTATTACATTAGCTAAATATGTAGGTTATATAAATTCACTCACATCTAAAACTCTGCAGATAAACATGGGCTCTAGAAAAAGAACAAATCAAAGAGCTTTAACAATACAAAGCACTGAGCTTGCCATGACATTTATACAGATGAGAAAATATCGTGACTATGCATGTATCAGTTTCTATAACAAAATTAATTAAATCTCTACTTGCTCCGTACCTTGTTTTGTTGTTGAATTTTATTTTTGCTTTGGTTTTTATTAGGACATTTTGCAATACATAATGTTTATATTTCTTGTGGAGAGTAGGTACATGGACACAACACATGTGTGTTCTTTTTTAATCCTCTTTCCTTCCCCCCACCCCTTTCTAGAGAAACCCCTCCCTTGTTGCGATAATGTCGAATTTCCCTCCAAATCTATTACAAAGAGATAAATTCATTCCCTAGTCTTAATTCTAAAGATTTAAATTGTTGATTTGTAAGTCCAACTTACCAAAGAAACTTGTCAGAATCTCTGTCATAGAGAATCATGTTTTTTCCCTTAAACTTTTAAGGGAAGTCATATTAGAAGTTTATTTTGATCCCCGACCTTCTGCTAATTAATCAGCAATAAAGACTATCATTCCAGTGAAAATGAGGCAAGCAGTTTATTAAATAGGTAAGTATATCTAAAATATTTACTTTTTTAAAGTGCTATTTGTCCAGATAAATAGCTAATTATCACGTTAACTGCCATGATAAGTACTGATCTTCTAGATCTGTTACCCAATACAGTGGCACACTCATACACAAACTTAATTCATTCCACAACTCTGGGGAAGAGGCTGCTTTCATGTACCTCGCCCAATGCAGAGTTTGAGAACAGAAGCATAATTCCGCTAATTGTTTCTTTTTGGGAACTGAAATGTTCTCGGAAGATGTGTTCACGAATTGATGTGCTGCTGTATTTTCCTGTTTATCCTGCTTTCATCGCTCCACTGCCACAGAACACAGGCATCATGAGCAAAGGCTTCTACTGTGACACAGTTCTCAGAATAGCCCACTGCTGGAGAGCCTGGTTACCTGTTTGTTGAATAAATGAATAAAAATCTCTTAGAAAGCTTTACTGGTGCAGGACAGGAGGGACAGGTGAAGCCTCACAATGAGTTTCATGTACAGAGAGATTTTGCAAAGTTATATTAGCTATAATTTCAGTAAATTCAAGATTCTGTCTCTAAAATTTTTTTTAAATTTTCATTCTTAGATAAAATTGTATGTATTTATCATGTACAATATGATACTCTGAAGTATATATATGTACAATTCATGCATACATATACATATATATATATATATATATACACACACAATAGAATGTTTAATTCTAACTAATTAACATGCATATTACGTCACTTTGGTGGTGAGATTACCAGATCTTCCCTCTACATCTAGAAGACAATGTTTCTGATACTTGTTAACTTGGGAGACTATAATATTTCCATTGACTTTTATAGTTCATGGTCACTATCTTTGGGGCCAAATATCAAGCAATGTATTTTTACAGACATTTTTACATTTCTTTTTTTTGCAATCTTTGGTATTTTAAAATTATTTATATGACTATTGCCAGTTTTATTAATAAACACTAATTTCAACACACAGGAATAGATCATACTTTAGCTGTTAATAGAGTGTAGGTAAGGTACAGTTCTCTGAAGCGCTGTTTATTCGTCAGTGGGCTTTCTCCCATTTTTCTTTTCTGCCATGTCCTGTTGGTGAAGGGTATGTCATGCTGCTTGCTGCATTCTCTCCAGTTTTTCCAGAGTCAGAGATTTTAAGGGTAAAAGTGTGGGTTTACACAGCACCATTGAGGTTACATCTTAAAGGCAGAATTCTCCCATCATGAATATTCATAGTTTTTCCAACATTTTCCATACACATACACTGAACTGTCCCTATGCGAATGTCTGATGAGGTTGTGTACCTGGCACTGGACAAGGTGGTCCCTGCTGAGTCACACAGCTGCGCGTGGACCCAACCTCCCCCACGCAGCTACTCGCCAGCGACCCATGAGCGGTTCACAAGAGAAGTAGTTGAATTCCTGGGAGAAGTCACAAAGGGCCACCACCTCAAAAGGCATTAGGATGAACCCAAGCAGACAGGTTAAAGTGAGGCTGCTGGGTAAAACGGCCTGAGTTGCTGGGGCTGAGACAGCAGCTGCCCGAGGCTCTGAATTCGTTGAACAGGAAAATGGGCAGCACAAAGAGGAAACTGTCAGGATGCAGAGAGCTGGGCTCTTGGAGGAGTGAGTTCAGATGGTGCCAGCTGAGTAAGCAGACGATGGAGCAACGAGAAGGAGAAAGGACTTACGGAGATGTTCTGACTCTGAAGAGTGCTGACTCATGTAAAACAGACACCGTCTTTGGCATGAAGTGGACAGGCCATATGCAGCACTAAACTTAAAGCGAGGTTTGGTGACCTCAAAACATGTCAAAGTAATGATAAAACGTAGAATAAAGAATAAAGGGAGCAATACTCAAAGCATTAAAGTTTAGCATTAATTTTGGCTTTCATGTGATATTCTCTGTAACCCCAGTGCCAGCCACTCCTGAGACACCCGCTCCCCTGGGAGGGTGGAGGTTCTGCCTGGGCTGGGAGCTCTCAGGAGCTCAGAACAAGGTGACAATTTCTGATCTCCTGGATTCTGACAGTTCTGACGTATACCATTCCTACAGCTTGCTGGGTTATGCAGCACATTACTAAGACTTTTTTTCTAGATATAAATGGTCTTCAAATAAATTTGAGCACAGCCTTTTCAATCAAACTACTGCAGCCATCTGAAAGCATGTAAAACTTCTGACCTTAGATCAGGCTTGCAGAAATGGAAAAAGGAACCCCCCCAGAAGTGCCAATGGAGTTAAACCTGATCTCTACAAATGCTTTTGAGTTTTGTTTCCTTGCCCGACACAGATCATCTCTCTGCATAGGTGCACAATGCTTTTTATTTTTTATTCACGTTTGTGTTCTATAAGCTTTACAGCGTCCTGAACACTGCTGTTTCCATTTACAGAGCAGTCTGGGGGTAACGTAGCACACTGGCCAGAGCGTACAGTTCCGCAGAGCCCTCTCCACTCTTCCTCTCACCTAGTTTGACACAGCTGGTACGAAAGAACAACCAACAGCAGTCCCCAGCCAAAGTGAGTGCCTCCTAGTTGCTTTCCTGCAAATGTTTTGATTCCTCTGAAACAAGGTTTTGTTTTCTGTTTTTTTTTTCAGCTTTAATTGAGTTTATTGGTACATTTTAGGGATACAGTACAGTTACATTCATTGTTGGGATCTTGTACCTCTACATGACAAGTCTTGGTTCTCATTTTTTACCCTTGTCCCTGCCCTCCCTTCACCCCCTCTTCCCCGCCCCATCTACAAACACTTTATTTTCATCTTTTCATTATCTCACATTTTTTTCTTTTCCCTTATTACCCTTCTCTTACCCATCCCACCTTCCCTACACCTTTAGCTCCTTTCTTCCCATTTCTAAATGTCAATAATCTTATTAGGATCTTATGTATTTTTGCAGATTATTCACACCAGGGAAACTATTCGGTATTTACACATGTGTGACTTATTTATTTCACTTAGGAGTATATCTTCAATATGTATCCATTTTCCTATGAATGAATCTATTTTCTCATTCTTTATGGCTGAGTAATATTCCATTTTATAGAAAAACCACATCTTCTTTATCCAGTTTCCAACAGATGGGCAAATGGGCTGTTTCCAAGATTTAGCTATTACAAACTGTGCTGCTATAAACATGGTGAAACAAGGTTTCTAAATGCGCGCAGTAATACAAGTGTTGGATGGCACTAGGACTATGTGAGGATGATAAAACCGTTCCCCTAATGTGTTATAATTCTCCCCATCCCTGAGAGGGGAAACAGTACCCAGAGGAGGAGGCCACCCCAGGTGGAGCTGGGACTCCTGATCCCCTGTTCTGCTGAGCTGGGGGTTTCCTAGAGACTGTCAAATCCTCCAACACTAGAAGAATGGGACCGAGCTTCAAATTCCTTAAGCTTGGTGGACACAAAGCAGCAAGGCAGTGCCTGATCTGTGGGGCCCTACTTGTGTTTTATAAAACAGTAGTGACAGATTTGATGGATTCCTCAGAAGAGCAGGGGGGACCTGGGAGATGAAGCCTGCTTCGTCTGACTGCCCTCATGAAACATGGAACCAGACTGTCCGCTGGAGGCATCCCTATCTTGTCTACACAACACGGTGCAATTTCTCTCCTCAAGGCCTACTAGCCAGTGTTTTTCTGTAAGGAAACAGAAGTTCTCTGTTTTCACTCAGTCCAAAGTGTACCAGCTGTCCATGCATTAGAAATTGGTTTACAAATCTTGTGGACTCTTTACACTAATGAAATTGATAACTTTGCCTGATCTTTGCAGTCTTGCAAACATCCTCAGGCACATTGGCTCTTGGCTATTCTAGCCAGGGCTGGTTTTTATTGTCAGCCACACAATTTACCAGTGGGTAATTTTGTAGTGTTTCATAGTTGATTTAGATTGTTCTATAACTGATTTCTGTCTGAGTCTTATCACTAAACAATGTTGGAAATATCTCCAGAAGCTTAAAGAAAAAGAAAGGAAAAGGAAGGACAAACAAAAAGGAAAGGAAGAAGAAAAGAAAAGAATCAACTGTAATTATGTTACAGAAAGCTTAGAAGCTACATTACTGACTGCTAACATCCTGCTTCAGTCATCCCGAAAGGGGAAGAGAAGGAGCTGGGAGCCAGACCAGGGCACGTGGCCTAGGTTTTTTGTTTCTAATGCTTCTATATCAGAAGTGGAGGTTGATGTTCTGAATGAGGGGAAGGGAATGGAAAAAGTCTTGTGGTATGTCCAAGAGCAGCACCACTGTGCATCACAAACAGGCACTCATTTTATTAAAAAGAACAAACCCAGGTCTTCCCCTAATCTGAGTGATCACACCAGGCAGAAAGGGAAGGCACCAGTCACCTGGAGGGCTGGGTGTGTAGCTGATGATTAAGACTGGCCTTAAGCCTGTCACCCGCTACTTACCTCAACTTCAGATAGGTTTCTTCCTAATTTCAGATCCTGAACACCTTTCTTCTTGCAGCATTTTCTTCAGAGTCTTCTAATTATGACTTCTCTCTCTGTCCCTTTGAAATGTAAAAATTGTAAAAGTGTTCTGTCAGCTTTACAGGCCCAGCCTCTTTCCCTTTCATGGGACCCGCGTTTGAAACGTGATCATCAAGGAAAAGCCCCTCTCCCATCTCTACAGGAGGGTGAGAGTCTGGACTCAGGGAGTACCTGATCCCAGTGGGTAAAGCTATTTCCTTTCAAGAAGATAAGAGAAAGTTTCCTTTTTCTTCCAGTGAGACCGACTTGAAAACATGCAGGCCTAAGACCTGCCCTTCCCCAGTTGCCCCAAACTCTCCCACCTTTCGCTTTGGATGAGTTCAGTTCAAATGGCATCCTGGGAGCTCCTGTCTTTGTCCAGATGAAGTCTTTAGCTATTTCCCTGTGTCCAGTGTAACTTGTCCTTTGATGCCTGAGTGAGAAAGTGTTTAGAATTTTGGGAAATACTTGAAATATGGGAAAGTCTTAGAACAATATAACGAACACTATAAATATGCTGCAGGTTTCTGGGTTTGGGAAAAAACATGGAATAAAAGGAAAGTTTGTTGCCTTCACTTCCTGTGCCTCATCCAATCCCACTGATGTAGGACAGTGGAGTCGGACAAACCAGACAATTAGGCAGAATATATCAAAGGTCACAGGGCTGGGGTTTTGGCTCAGTGGTGCTGCCACCTGCCTTGCAAGCAAGAGCTGGAGTTCGATCCCTGGTACCAAAAAAAAAAAAAAAAAAAAATAAAAAAAAAAAAAAAAAAAAAAAAAAAAAAAGGCACAAAAACCTGGAGAACATGTGCAGAACATGGAACCCAAAATGAACCCATGGCTCCTGACCTCTGTGCCCAGAGACAATCAGAAAGCAACATTTTCAGTCCCTGCTTTTGGAGCTGGTGCTGTTTGCAGGAGCACAGTTTTCAGTGTTTGGCTTACATGTTTTGGGAAGCTAAGTGGGTCTTTCCATTGGGCAGTTTAAATCTATCTCCAGGCCAGGTGAGTTTTCCATGGTGCCTCCCTGCACAAGGGAAAAGTCATCCAAGAATGGTGATTACAAGAGGCCCCTTTTCCCCTCGTCCTCTGGCTGCTGCCAGCCTTTCTATCAGCTTGCGCTCTCTCTACAGAGTGTATTTCTTCTCCTTTCAGTAAATGTACACTTCTGTGCCTTGTCCAATTCTTCTTTCAGGATTCTCTATCTGGTGAAACTACAGTTAGCATCTCTTCAGGGTCCTCCTAGGACAGGGCTCAAAGAGCTCCCCAGATAGGAGACAGGAACCTTGATTCACCTCCTGTGGGGCTGTGGCAGATTCACTGACTCCCCTCACACAAGAAAAGAATTTTCAGGATGCATCTGTAAGAGAAGAAAAGTCATTGAAAGAGGCAGATTGTAAAATATGCATTCAAAGAAGATAGAGTGTGGACCCTCAACAGAGAGGAGCATTCTTTCCTGGAATTGGGACCTGCATGTTTTCCTTGAGGAGGTGGACGCTTATGTAATTTGTGAGTCTGTGGGATGTATTGGTTTTAACATACAGGACAAGAAAAGATGGTCACTTTACAAGTGGGAGACACAAATGCACTTTGTTCATTCGTTTGTTTGTTTGTTTTTAATAGATATTCTTTTGGCTGGGATTTAGTTCAGTGGTACCATGCCTGCCTCACAAGCACAAGGTCCCAAGTTCAATCCCCAGTACTCCCCCCAAAAAAGATGGTCTTTGAATTCCCTCAATCTGTTCCTTATCTTAAGATCAGGTTTCTGTCTTCTTTACCAACTAAACTAATTCATGGACTTATAGCATTCTTAAGGAATTGTGGGTGAGATGGATCTAGAAGGAAAGAAGCACAAACTAACTCAAGGAATGTGGATCTGAATAGCTATGGGTAACTTTGTGTCTTTTAAAAAGTAAAATTTTGAAATTACGATTTTCTTTATCTCCTTTCAAACTGTATTTCTTCTATCCCACCTCAGTTCCTCCTTAGTGCCAGGTTCTATTTTCTGGACCAGGTAGAGGGGTTGGGGTATCAGTGGCACAATCGCACTACACGTCCTTCAGAGAGGGGATTTTCTGGACTGAAGAGATGGACGCGGTCCACACAAGGCCAGGAGTCTGACCCCAAGGACAGTCCCTCGGGGAGCAGCTTTAGGGGTTTGTATCCTTGTTTCCATCTCATCATCAAGACTCAAGTTCTAGAAGCCTGGCCTACTTTTGGTCGCATGCTCACTTCTACAGTGGGCAGGGAGCAGCTGGATGTATATTTCACTGTGTATGATTTGGGGTGAAAGCAATTCCTAGCACGACCCCCGTCTCACCCTAGAAAGTGCTGAGTAGTATCGCTAAAAGCCTTGGTACCATGAGAAATCCCTCAGCTCCACGAGGCGTGAGATGCTCATTCCCACTAAGGCAAGCTCATTCCTCCAGGAAAGACTGAGCTATTGTCATCAAAGGCAGGAGATCTGACTTGGCAAAATGCATACATGCATCCACGAATGCTTACATACTTGGGAGAGGAAACATTTGGGTTTGTCACCAAAGTATGAATACTGGGCAGGACAATAACATAAATATTGACAACAGCATCTTTTATTCCAGTTTGGACATATTGGTTTCTACATTCTGTTCACTGGGCTGTTAGACTGGGAAATATGAGAGGGAATGAAAACTCTGGTGTGGGCTTAATTTTGCACTGTTTCCTAGGAGCACTGGACTCATTTTTTCAGGCAGGGGATTCATTAGTTACCTGAGAAGGTCATATACCTCTAATTGCCTCTTTTCTTGGTCTTTTATTATAATTTGTTGGGATTTCAAAATAAATTTCCTTCTAAGGCATGGATTTTGTAGGACAATTTATACACATTTTATATTAACCTCAAAATATGACTAATCAATTCAAGTCACACAAAGTCTAGTTGTGTACTGACTCTGTATGAGAGGCAGAAAATTTTCTGAAGTTATAGGCCTCACCAAGATCACAGACTGTGACATAGATCTGAGGCCTGTGACGCAGTGGCCCAGGTCACTGAACCAGTGTCTTTGGTATTACGATGC